CATTAGATCTTGATCATTTCAGTCTTTATAAATTTAAACATGTTTATCCAGTTTCATGACTCCCTGTGACAAAATACACCAGATATGGATGCCTTTTTTGATCTCACTGTTGAGAAATTTGACTTTTCATGATATGGTGTGGTTTCATAAAATGTTGAGCCGTTCGTGTCCTGTGTGGAAGATCGCCTCTCATTTCCAAATAAGACATTATTTTCGCTTAAAAACAAGCACGTTGTAAACAAAAGACCCCATTCTTTCGCTATTCTTGATAGAATTTTCTCAAATATCTTTTGATCTTGAACAAAAAGTGAGTCATTTTCAAGAGTCTTTCATTCCCGCCTTTTTATGAAAAACGTCAACTTTCAAGCGTTGCCCGCGATATACGTGCGGTCAGCGCCAACAAATGTCCCTGCTGTTGTTGGAAACTGGTTCCCAGTTCTCTACGTGTTTAAGAGAAGTGTCTTTGTGATTGGCTATTTAGGCTGTGACTGACGCGAATCTAATTAATCTTTGTGATTGGATATTTTAGGTGAATTATGTGAAGGCTATAGATAAATACCTTATCACGTGTTTCCTGTTCGTGTTTGCATCGCTTGTTGAGTACGCGATTCTACTGACTTTCATTCATCGTCAACATCAACACAAATCCCAGGAAACTAATAGAAGAAAGGTACTCGGTTCCTTTGATGTCCGATATTTCATCCGAAAAAATCAATGCATGTTCAATTAATGATTGTTTGTTTAGACGTCTACACTCCTTATGTTATCCCTAATATTTGCATTATTAGATTGCTTGCTTTGTTTTAGTCAGCTGTGTCCCCTAAAATTAATGTTGGGTGTCAACCAAAAAATATTTAGAAAGGGGACTTTAAAAAGGAGTGTCAGGAGTTGGGCGTGTCATGGTGATAGGGGGAATCGCTCTCGGCATAGACATTATTTTGCCAAAGTTTATAGACGGGATAAGGAGAAGAACTGTTGCACATTTCTAAAGCCAAAGACTTCAATATTAACAGACAGTCCCTGTGATTGAATTGTTATTCTTAGTTTTCAATTGTTGCTTTAGTTTGTTTAATTGCTTTTATTTTAGAAAACATCTTCAACAAGTACAATAACAAATGGTGAGCCGGTAAAGATACCCAAGGAACTAATATTCTCGAGAAGATTAGACCTAACAAAGTCAACTATAAATCACAGGAAATCCTCGCAAGCACTGAAAGAATTTTCTAAGAATCCAGACTTTAAGTTCTGTCATGATGAAAACCGTTGTTTTTACAGAGATGAAAATATCGCTGCAATAGATCGCTACTCGCTCAGACTCTTCCCCCTCGCTTTTACCCTCTTCAATCTTTACTACTGGATTTGCATTTTTAAATTTCCTTATTTGGTGATTTCAAGATGACATCATCGCACGTGATAAGGCACGTGATAAGGCAGATTACCTGGAGGAACCAGAAGATGGCAAAAGGGAATGGCATAGAAAATATAGCGTTAAATGGATAGATTTAGGGCTGTGAAAAAATGTTATTTCAAATGAACAATGCCCATGCTTTAGTTGTTTCTTTTGAAACCCTAAAAACCTTTTCACAACCGCCAAATCGTCGACAAAATTGGCGACAAAATGAGCGATCGCAATCTATGGCTCATGTTAGCTGGTTTCAAAAATACATCTACTGAGAGTAGGATCATGTCCCCCATGGGCCACCGTACGTCATAACCCAATAAGTTAAGAAGCAACAGCTAGAAATTCTACTATTCCAAAATTTGAGCCAAAATAACTCAACAGAGTTGTTGCTATGGGACGTGTTTCATTGACAACGATATATATTTTAGGTTGTGATATCGAAGTAATTTGTGAAGAGGTATTTTTATGTTTATTGTATGTAAACTTTACTCAAAAGTACTTTGAATATTTTAATTTAAAATACCTATTAACATTAAATTGACACTCTAAATCTACCTTTATAGTTACCAACTGATTTTGAGACCTGTTTGATCTTGAAAAGTTTTTAGTTTTGTTTGTTTGTTTATTTGTTGTTGTTTTTTTTGTTTGTTGTTTTTTTTTTTCACTGCCGGGATAGTTACTAGTCCTTCTCTAAGAAAGTCAAGAAAACATTTGGCCATGATTACAAACCGAAGTAATTGGTATGAAATGGTCGTTAAGTTTTTTGTTAAAATTCACAGTAAAAAATAGTCATTGAACGGTGAAGATATTATTGGAGGCGAGAGATCTTTTCAACACCCGAAGATAAAATCTGTATCTCGTCGCGCCCATGTAATATTCCATTTATCATATAATAAACGTTTATTCTAACCTCCAATATCTACCACAAATGTGTGAAAATAACAACTTTACGTAATGGAGAAATAGAGTGCACGCCATAAGCATGAAACAATTCTTAACTAATTAGAGCCTAATAAGATTTAGTTATCAACTAACTAAGAATTTAGTGAGGCATAACCAAAGACAATTTCCTTTCTGGCATTGTGTTCATGCCCCAGTGAATTCTTAGTTAGTTGATAACTAAATCTTATGAAATGTTGTTAGTTAAGAATTGTTTCGCGCTTTTTTGACGTGCACTCTATATGTATTTATAGATAAAAAACCTAGTTACAAGTTGCGTGGCTTTTTCTTCATTTATTCTATTTATGTATTTATAGATAATTATATGATAAAAATTGTATTATAACGTATAGTCACAATTCGTCGTCAGTACTGCTGAGACATATATAATTTTTTTTCTTAATACATTAATAGCTTTGCGAATATCGACAATCGAAGTGATGCGATTAAAGGGTTTGCTAACGAATGTAGTTGGTGCATGTAAGACCAATAAGGAGCCAGGTAGCACCGCTCGGAACGGGTCTCATGATAGGTTGAGAAAACAATGGACAAACAATAGATAAGTCTTCCAACAATATAACAAAACCTAACCTAACAATAGTGGTGCTGTACTTAAGGAGCAATCAAAAAGCAGGTTTCAATTGGTACTGCATTACTGCCAATAAGTACTGCTATATATTCGAAATCTCTTGTGTTTTGCGCATTGTTCATGTTCATGATTATGATGATTAATGATGATGTTTGCGAGCACGATGATACCGATAGTAAGGGCATGCTGGTATTCTTGATGTCGTCTTTTTTATCCTGCTTTTCCTTGTCCGTTCCTTGGTCACTAAGTAATGATGCTACTTGTCCTTAATGTGGCGATGAGCTGTAAACTGCACCTTTCCTGAACAGTATATGGTCAGAACTTCTGCAGTTGGTTTTGTGCTGACAATGTTTGAACCTACAATATTTTGAAGCAGGGCACCTGTAACCAAAGCAACTAGTACAGACATCCAAGTAACGATGGCTGAGAGCACGACGTGTTTGATGGTAATCTTACTAGACAGGAATGGATGCTCTACCGCAAGGTACTTCTCAATGCTCACCATCATCAAGGAAGACAGAGCAAGCATATTAAGTACAACGGGTGAAACAACCTTATAAAACTCTCGCATGGAACTAAAATACTTTGCTGTAAAAATGCTAACAAGGAAGTGACAATTGTTTGTGGAACCAAGCTGACTAAGAGATCAGTGAAAGCCATGGCAACCAGCAAGAGATTGGATTTGTTACATCGAAGACTTTCGTCCTCTAGCATTACCCAGATGATTAAGAAGTTAATGGCAAACATTGCTGGTGCGGCGATACCGTTAAGTACAGCAAGAACTGTCCAAGTAGGTTTGCCAGAACTTGCCAAGCCAGAGAAATTAATCAGTTTGTTGGCAACATCTGCAAAATTAACTAATGGTAGTCAATCAGATCTACCTTAACTTGAATTTGTAATATTCATTCTTTTTCTACTTTCTTTTTTTTCTTTCTATTTTCTGTAGTTTTGTTTTTCTTTTAGATCGTTAGTGGGGACCAGTTGGACTGACACTGGAAAAATTCGCGCGCTTTAAAGATTGCAAATTTGATGTAAATGATTTCCATTAACTCCAGTGTGAGTTCTATTGAAATGCTTTTCTCAGCATCTCAGCATCTGATCACGTGATCCTTGTTGACCAAGACTGCCGAAAGTAGATCTTTTGGCTCGACGCTTTCCTTTAAGTCACAATTGAAAGTTTTTTTCATTTACACATAACAAAAGCAAGCCTTCTAATTCGAACTGATAAATTGCAAACGGCTCGCGATAGAAAAACGGAAAAATGGTATGAATCAAATTATTCCCAAATAACTAATGATAACTAAAGTCAAGATAATGTTTAGATGTACAAACACTACTTATCGAAGCATCTTTAAAATATCAGGGGCGGATCCAGGTCTCCGCCAGGAGGGGGTGCAACCCACAAAAGTCATTACCATGAAGATAAGGAAAGTATTGAAGGATAAGCTTGGTTTTCATATAATCGTTACAATCGCTAGGATCGCTACGATCGCCGAAAATTTCAACGATCGTAGCGATCATATGGAAACACTCTCCAGCGATCCTGCGATCCTAGCAATCTCGATCGCTGGAATCGCTCAGATTCTATCTCGGCGATCGAGGTTGCCATATGATCGCTACGATTGTTGAGCCACATTTTCGGCGATCGTTGCGATCCTAGCGATTGTAACGATTATATGGAAACCAGGCTATACAGTTATGAAGAGGGTGTGTGCACCCCCGGAACCCAACACGCTGGATCCCCCCTGTCTTTACATGACATTTTCTTGATAGAAATTATTGCTTATCTCTCATTAGAAAAACCTAATACCAAACAGATGAATAATGCTATCGTCGATAATCATCGCAGCTCACTTCCTGGAGCTTTAATGAAAACCTGGTGTAATATATAATAATAGAATTGAGTGAATTGTGTGTTAAGACGTGGGCTGGAGTTTCAGGACCAGTTAACCTTCTTACACCAAATTGAAATGAAGTAAAACATGGACAAATGATGGCAATACTGAATCGATTCTTGCTTCAAAATCAGTTGAAATATCGTGATATAGATAAAGCAGTCATGCTTACCAAAGTAAGATTTCCCAGAAGAAAGACCTTAATAATACACTAAGAGTGTCGGCTTGAAGTACAAAGATAGATTGAGTTCTGTCCGACTAGAAATCCCAGTTGACTGGTGTCTAAGTAAATTTACCTAAACACAGAAAAACAAAATCGTCACCAAGTTCAACAACAAAATATGGGCAGCTAAAAAGTAAGATTAAATCTAAATTAAACGATGATGGTTTAGCGGATAATCATTTTGAATGAACCACACCTAATGCAATTTGAAAATAGTCCACTTCATCTCATGAAAGACCATACTACAAACCTGGATGTGACGTCATTGTTTGATTTCAAACCAAGTGGGGACTGGGGAAAATCCCCTAATATAGGCAATGTGCAGCGAAGCCATTTTGTGCACCAAAGCAGGATGGTAGTTGTAGTCCTCGCACTTTTCATAGCCCCTAAAATATTTTCTGAAAAGCCGTTTTTACATTTTCTTTTTAGAAACGGCACAAATACTTCTATTCTCGCTTAGATAAAGCAAAAACCGGTTCGAAGGACTGTATTAGCGGACATAAAAAAGTACGAGGACTACAAATACCATCATCCTTTGCTGCACAAAATGGTGTCGCTGCACATTGCCTATAGACCCCTTGCATGTGACGTCAAAGAAGCTTCACCTGGAGGACAAAACAAAAGTTTTTTTGCCCTCTTGGGAACTAGAATCTATTGTTTTGTCCTCCAGTTGGAGTTGCATTCCCACGAACTGCAAGGGGTCTATAATATGAGATACCTAATAGAAAGAAGACCATATTGAGAAATACAAAACACCAAGACTTTGGTGTAAATCAGATCACAACTGAACGAATTACAATTTTTCAAAAACTCTAAAATTTCCAAAGACATGTATGGGCCGGAATCCGGAAAATGCATGGTCAACGTACATGAGGACACATTCGCGGCTTGAAAGGCGTAACTCGCTCACAATTACTGATTTGCACCAAAGTTTGGTATTTTGCATTTCTCAATGTGATCTTTCAGGTCTTTCTTTCTATGTCTTGCATATGGAAATATATTAAATTAAGATACACATATTTGCAGAAACATTGTCATAGAAAAAAAATGAATAAATCAAAACAAGACAAAAGAGAGCGTTCAGCCTCAGTGATCATCTTTCGTCGTTTTTTTTTAATTTATTCCTTTTTACTAAATACAAATGTCCTATTTTTTGATCTCCTATTTAGCCCAGTTCCCACTCGGTTTGAAACCCGGCAACAAAATGAACAATAGACACAATGGACGATGGACATATATGGACTCACTTCCGGTCAGTCGATTTCCTTCGTAGACAAAGATCTTGTCAACAGCTTGGCATGAAAAGTAATGAATGTAGTTCCTTCTGCGGATCAAAACAAGACGTACAAACGTTATATTGGAAATTGTTGTTCATTGTCTGGTACTGTGATATCAACTATTGATATTTAGAACTCTCTTAGTCAAGAAAGGGTGCTTAGATTGTGACAGGACTGTTATTGCGCGGTTGACNAACAGGCTCTACAATTTAGATAAAAGAGACCGATATAATTTTTTTGTGTGTCTTGGACAGGGTAATATTTTCATAACACCGTAGAAATACCGTTTCACTGTCCCAGAATTAACGTGTTATCAAAAACTTCTTATTGTCTTTGATGAATGTCAGTATAATTGCATTTTTGATGGTTGCGGCGAAGATAGCTATTCCTTATTTTTCCGATTTGTTTTGAACAGGGTATGGATTTTTAATTTTTAGTGTCTTAAACAGGGTCAGGGATTTAGACCGCTGGCGGCAGGTACCTATCCAAAATGGGGTCGAGTGCTCCCCCCCTCGGGATTAGCGGACATAAAAAAGTACGAGGATTACAAATACCATCATCCTTTGCTGCACAAAATGGCATCGCTGCACATTGCCTATAAGATGAGATACCTATAGAAAGAAGACCTTATTCAGAAATGCAAAATACCAAGATTTGGTGTAAATCAGATCACAACTGAACGAATTACAATTTTTAAAAAAATCTAAAATTTCCAAAGACATGTATGGGAATCCGGAAAATGGTCGACGTACATGAGGCGTAACTCGCTCACTATTACTGATTTGCACCAAAGTTTGGTATTTTGCATTTCTCAATGTGATCTTTCAGGTCTTTCTTTCTATGTCTTGCATATGGAAATATATTAAATTAAGATACACATATTTGCAGAAACATTGTCATAGAAAAAAAATGAATAAATCAAAACAAGACAAAAGAGAGCGTTCAGCCTCAGTGATCATCTTTCGTCGTTTTTTTTTAATTTATTCCTTTTTACTAAATACAAATGTCCTATTTTTTGATCTCCTATTTAGCCCAGTTCCCACTCGGTTTGAAACCCGGCAACAAAATGAACAATAGACACAATGGACGATGGACATATATGGACTCACTTCCGGTCAGTCGATTTCCTTCGTAGACAAAGATCTTGTCAACAGCTTGGCATGAAAAGTAATGAMTGTAGTTCCTTCTGCGGATCAAAACAAGACGTACAAACGTTATATTGGAAATTGTTGTTCATTGTCTGGTACTGTGATATCAACTATTGATATTTAGAACTCTCTTAGTCAAGAAAGGGTGCTTAGATTGTGACAGGACTGTTATTGCGCGGTTGACAGAGATCCAAGTCAAGTCGTCAAGTAGATACCAAAATACTTGATCTTTTCTCATAGGTAAGTACGTTTTTTGATTGTATTCCTTTTTAACTAATWATAATGCTGTATGGATATTAAAGATTGTGTAAAGATTGTAAATCGAGTGGCGAGTRTATGTGGTGAACCTTCATACTCGAGCTCAATGKCRTTGTGGGCATGTTGGCTTCGTACTGTGAAGARCCAACTGCATAATTTATTCTATTTCAACTTGTAAGTTTATTAAATAGAGRAGGTCTTAAATAGATATCAAGCTATTCACCAACAGTGAGTAAATGTATGCARACATAGCTTATTAAGTATTGTATTAAACCAAAACTATTGATCTGAAACAACTTGGCACGTTTGACAGTTATTGGGCACAGCTATGAGGATCGTGAGTTAGCTAAGTTATTTTCGTTATGTGTGTTGCACTTTTTAATACACTTTTCGCTTTTCTGCTCTACTTGAGTAAGTACAATAGCGTGCTGACAATGAATTGCTTGACTTCATATAAGACTTTGATAATCACGATTCTTGAAAAACATGTCAAAGCTGATCTGATTGATGTGTCGTTGCCCGCTTGCATTGGAATGCAATGAAATATTCTCCTCCATTCACAAGCTATTAAGAATATTTAAAACATCAAAATTTGACCTTAATTACCGCACAATGTATAGTTTAATTTATGCAGCAATGAGCCTGAGTCTTACACGAGGCACCATTGAATTTCTGAATTTATGCTAATGTTTTTTTTAAATTCTTATGGTTCTTGCAATGACATAACCTCCCTTATTTGATTCCTGATTTTTTTCATCGTGGATAACTATTATTGATTGCTTTGATTAAATGGATTTAACTACAATTGATTTTCTGTTAAAATC